CTATTGAATTATAATTTTGAGATGCATGAAAGTTATTCAACTAAAACTGAAATAAAATTAAAGAAAAAAAATGTAATATTGAAATGTACATAGTAGTGAAGACTGCAAATAACATGGTTATTATCCACCTTTTTTCTGAACACACTGACTTAAACAAGGATCATTGCTTTTATCTTCATTCTCTGATGTTTCTAGTCATATTCGTAATTTTCCCAGCCAGTAATGTTATTTAAATCTGTAGGGAAATGGTGATAAAGGACATGGGTCTATTGTTTCAGAACTATACAGTGGGGCAATGGACTTAATAATTGTAAAAGTTTAATAAGTGCACTAATGCCATAAAGGAGCCTGAGGTGGGTGCTTATATCAGACATACACTACCGGTTAAAAGTTTGAGATCAGTTTTTTTCCCCATGTTTTTTTTTTTAAAGGAAATTATTCTGTTCATCAAGGCGGCATTTGTTAAATGTAAAAAAAAAATGTTAAGTTGTTAAATGTTTATTAAAATTTTAAATAACAAATGAAATTATTACTCCAGTCATTGTTGCTTTTATGACTATTAGCATTAATAATACAAAAATATTTTATATTAGTTATGAAGATTCATATTAGAGTAATATATTAGAGTTATAAAAATAAATCATTATTAATAAATAACACTTCGGCTACGTAGTGGTGCAGTAGGTAGTGCTGTCGCCTCACAGCAAGGTCAGTTGGCGTTTCTGTGTGGAGTTTGCATGTTCTCCATGCGTTCGAGTAGGTTTCCTCCGGGTGTTCCGGTTTCCCCCACAGTCCAAAGACATGCGGTACAGGTGAATTGGGTAGGCTAAATTATCCGTAGTGGATGAGTGTGTGTGTGTGTGTGTGTGTGTGTGTGTGTGTGTGTGTGTGTGTGTGTGTGTGTGTGTGTGTGTTTGAATGAGTGTGTGTGGATGTTTCCCAGAGACGGGTTGCGGCTGGAAGGGCATCCGCTGCGTAAAAAAAACATGCTGGATAAGTTGGCGGTTCATTCCGCTGTGGCAATAAATGCAGCTTTGATGAGCAGGAGAAGCTCATTTTAAAACATTTACAAATCCTATTAACCCAAAACTTTTGTCCGGCAGTGTATTCGTAGATCAGGGTGGAAGTATTTCCATAAAAGTAAAAACAAAAAACACATATACCTTCTTTAAGGATTATCTTAAATTAGGCATAGCAATTCATATCTTTTTCTCAGTTAAACATTATTTATTTCAAAACCAGAAAGTGAAAAAAGAAAATTTCTCACAAAACAATGTTTTATTATTATTATTATTATTATTATTTTGGATTGTGACAATTTTTAAGAAAGGTGGCACTCTGCTAACTTGCCTGTGGTTTTAATGTCAAGGATATCATACAGTCAGAAACTTATACCAGCCCATGCCTACACTGAAAAATAAATATTTATTTGATTTACGAAATGTTTTTAAGGTAAGAGGTTGCAAACAATTATTAAGGGCTGAATTTAAACAAACAAATTAAATTTAGAAATGTTTAGTAAATTGTTTGTTTAAATTCAGCACCCCAAAAAGGTTTGCAACCACTTACCTTAAAAACATTGAGTAAATCCAATGAATGATTTGTTCCAGTGCAGTATGGAGATCCATCAAGGCAGTGCTTGTGAAAAAGGTGGATAGAACCAAAGATTGAGAAAAGCATCTCTTATACTACTGCTACTAATATAGCTGCAAACTCTCTAAGACATAAAGACAAAACGAGCTAAACAAACAAATAACTTAACGGACAGCAGGAAACAGCACTGCAGTGATTGGCAATGGAAAAGTTTTGTTCGGTTTCAGTCAGGTTGAGGAATGTCCAATGAAAAACTGGAGATGTGGGGAAAATGACAGAATAACATACAAAAAGAGTCGACTGATGCAACCATGTCTGTGTGACCTAGCATGACGAGTTCATACAGTTTTTACATGAAGGCAGAGTCTGAATAAATGAGACAAAGATGAAGAGTGAGAGAGGGCCAGCCACCCAGGGCCACAAGCACTCCGGTGTGCAGTCACACAGGCTTCCCAGCATGCACTGTCTGCATGCAAGTAGGAAGCTCAAAAGTGTAGTAAACCAATGGTGAGATGGTATGAGAGACGGTTAGCAGAGGCGTTAATCTGTTCTATGAAAACAGCCCACAGCAGAGCTAACACCATTTCCCTATGTGACAACCAGACAGGCAGGATTACCTGGAGGAAAAGTCCACGTTTATTGACTCTCTCTACTCACAGACCTTGATCTCCATCTTGTTCAACTGCTTGAAGTTCTGACGGCTTCATTTGCTTTCGCTCATCCTCCAGACACACAAACCTTGTCCCTTCACACATCTAAGCTCTTGTTACTCTATGAATATAGTCTTATATGTGTGCACTGCACATTCTTACTAACAAGTGAAAGGAGTGGATTCTAAAGCAACATTTCTCCAGTTTCACCCAACTGTGATCTTTAGACAACTGACTGACACACTGACTTCTTTATCACCCATAAGCCCTAGCTGCTCTAATATGTTACCACAGACTTAAGAGATTTTTTTAAATGATCTAATAGTTGCTTATTTAAAGATTGGTTTAAAGCTGAAGCATTGACTGTCTATCAGGGTTTAGTTTTTAAACAGATAAGAAATGAATTCATGTGCAAATGGTTTTAGTGTCTATTTTTATTATTAAAATTGTGTTCATGTAATTTCTGAAATGTTATAGTGTCAACAAGATTGATAGGATATAGAAACAGATAACATGCTACTCAACCATTTTGGTTGAAATCCCTCAGTGCTCTGCATAATATTGAAATGGCCCCATAGAGAATCAGCTATTTCTTTATATCTTGACTTTCTGATTTGTAAATCCAAAGAAAACAACTTTCGGATTTAGTATTTGTACAGAATTAATGTTAATTAATTAATATTAACTGTGTAAAACATATTCTGGATAAGTTGGCAGTTCATTCTGCTGTGGCAACCCCTAATAAATAAAGGGACTAAAGCAAAGGAAAAGACTGATATAAATATAAATAAATGAACAATACTGTATGAATGAATGAATAATACTATATTATTATTGGCTAAAATTTAAAAAGCCACATACACTAAAATACAATATATGTTCATGCAGTCATTTTCTTTTCAGCTTAGTCCCTTTATTAATCTGGAGTCGCAACAGCGGAATGAACAGCGTTTGTTTTACATGCCCTTCCAGCCGTAACCCATCACTGGGAAACACCCATGCACACTCATACACTACAGTCAATTTTAGCATACCCAATTCTCCTTCCATGTTTTTAGAGTTGTGGGGGAAATTGGAGCACCCAGAGAAAATGTTTATGTTAACACTCTAAAAAGCTCTGTTACCACTACATAGTTTAATACATTATTGTAACTTAAAAACTCTAAAATGGAAGGGCATCCGCTGCTGATTAGATTAAAACTTTTAAGTTGGCAGAATAATTTTATTAAGTTTTCAAAACAGATTTTAACTTAACTATTGGGGTAAATAAATATCTCAACTTTTTTAGAGTGTAATTAAATTTTTTGTAATTTTTGTAAAACAATGAAAACCTGTGGTTTAATACAAATTTTAAAAAAATGCCGGAAAACAAAAATGCTGTTGTTAAATGTATTTCTAACAAGCATGAACAGTAAATTTGAAAAACAAACAAAAAATTTATTTTTGAATTTGAAAATTTTAATTTCAGCTACTTAGTTTATTTGAGGTTCTAAACTTGAAAACATGCTATTACACACTGGATTTGTTTTCAATTTTAAATATTTATGTGTATGTAACATGTTATATGTTTTAGATATAATTAATAAAACCAACAACAATCAGCATATTAAGATTCAAATGTAATAATAACTTGTTCATAATTATTTGTATAACTTGATTTTAAAAAATATTTACACATAGGATTTTATAACTTTGTGACATTTATTTATTCATATTTCTGTAAATAAGCCACTAATTTGTCAACATGTAAAATAATTACATTTGATGGTTGGTTATATTTAAAAAATAAAATGGAATTACAGTGCATCTGCAAAGTATTCATTTTCCACATTTTTTTATGTTACAGTTGTATCCCAAAAGGGACTAAATTCATTTTTTCCTTAAAATTCTACACACAATACCAAATAATGACAATGTGAAATTTTTTTTTTTTAAATTGTTGCGAATTTATTAAAAATAAAAAACCTGAAAAATCACATGTACTTAAGTATTAACAGCCTTTGCTCAATACTTTGTTGATGCACCTTTGGCAGCAATTACAGCCTTGAGTCTTTTTGAATATGATGACACAAGCTTGGCACACCTGTCTTTGGGAATTTTTGCCCATTCCTCTTTGCAGTACCTCTCAAGCTATATCAGGTTGGATGGGAAGCGACGGTGTACAGCCATTTTCAGATTTCTCCAGAGATATTCAATAAGATTTAGATCTGGGCCACTCAAGGACATTCACCGAGTTGTTGTAAAGCCACTCCATTGATTTGAAACAATTTTAATTTTTTTTTACATTGTCATCATGCGGTATTGTATGTAGAATTTTGAGAATTTGATTAATTTTGGAATAAGGCTGTAACATCAAAAATTGTTTAAAAAAGAAAAAAAAGTGAAGCGCTAAGAATACCTCCCGGATGCACTGTACATTTTTGAATTAAACACTTAAGTTTAGTTATTTGATTTTAAACAATTAAATAAGCAACTGTGGCCTCCTCAGATGCCAAGACCTCCCAACGGTTAAGAACCACTAACCAAATCTAAAAAGCAAAGCAGCTTCTTAGTGAATTTAATAATAAAATGAGAATGAATATTTGCTTAAGTAAACAAAGGTTTCTCAGCCTTTAATGTATATGCTATCATAAGAAAGAAAACCCAAAATAATATCAAAACTCAATAACAGTATCACTTTTTCTTATCTAAACATACTAAATCTATGTGTACTCTCCTCCCATTCAAACAAATGTGCTAAAAAGCCATACCACATGATTAGTTTGATCACATTTCTTTTATTTGATGGATCTAATATACAAGTGCAATGGTGTTCTCAACAACCATCCAAAAAGCAATCAAGCCAGCACAAAAGAGAGAAGTTAAATGGTGGCTACATTCTCGTCAACTATTCCTAAATCTATACTATAGAGTGAACAACTCAAAACTGTAGTGATCTGTCAAACAACACAACAGACACTCATCTTCATCTTCTCTGCTTTCCTCTCACATGCTTTGACTTTCCTCTTACTTCAGTACTGCAGTCTGTCTATGCCACCTTTCTAAACTTTCTCTATATGTCGGGGTGCTTTACTGAGGCACGTTGAGTATTTGTGCCGACAGGCCATTGTGCCAGTTTTTCAGTTTAGCAAAACGGGGGCCTTTGGCTTCAGATTCAAATCTTTCCCTGTGACACCAAAACATCATATATAGGACAACAGGGGGAGGAAAAAGAGAGAAAAGAAAGGGTGGAAAACAGGGTTAGGGTATATTGCCTTTTCTTTCCTGTCCAGTAAATACACAGTTAATACATGTGTGAGTGTTTTAAAAGATTTGTGACTGCCTTAAAGAAATAGTTTAACAAGCAATTACCATGTTTACTTTGACCTTCATATCATCCAAGATGCAGGACTATATTATTTTGTAGAAGATTAAAGAAGATCTTAAGATTAAAACTGTGGTTATTTTCATTCATTCATTCATTTTCTTGTCGGCTTAGTCCCTTTATTAATCCGGGGTCGCCACAGCGGAATGAACCGCCAACTTATCAGCACGTTTTTACGCAGCGGATGCCCTTCCAGCCGCAACCCATCTCTGGGAAACATCAACACACACACACACATTCACACACATACTCATACACTACGGACAATTTAGCCTACCCAATTCACCTGTACCGCATGTCTTTGGACTGTGGGGGAAGCCGGAGCACCCGGAGGAAACCCACGCGAAAACAGGGAGAACATGCAAACTAGAGATGTGCGGATGGCGGTTACAGCCGCGGAATCCGCGGATAAACCGCGGATCGGGCAGATGACGTGACGAAAAATAATATTTTAATTAAATTCAGGCGGGTGGTGGGCGGCTGTACTGTTTTGTACACATAGCTGGCGCACCAACGAAAAAGCCTAGGACTGACTTCACAGAATGAGAGGAGGAATCGGATACACTAATTCTGGATGAAGTACAGAAGTCTTCCTCTACAAAATTAAGTATAGACGGATCAGCAGAGGAAAATCTACTTTCCTTTTGGGAGAAACAAGGCAGTCATTCCCACGTCTACAGCACCTTGCCAAGAGAATTCTATGCATTCCAGCAACAAGTGCTGCGAGCGAGCGCTCCTTTAGTGCAGCAGGGCGCATTAGAGGCCAGGCGCTCTCGTCTGAATGTTGAAATGATGTGTCAAAATGCGTTTTCTATTAGGCTACAATAATAAAAAAAAATTGTACAGTACAGTGCGTTTCATTTAGGCTATTTTTTTATTTATTTTTGTCCCCGTGCACCGATTGGAGACGGAGTTCACTGCTGATATTCTGAGAGCTTTATAGGGTGCTTCTCATTTCTTATTTGTGTATCCTCGTTTCCTTTCCTTGCTTTCTTTCCTCGTCTTTCCACCCCTATAGGATGCGAGGGAAGGACGCAAAAAAAAAAAAACGCAAGGAACGAGGAATCGAATCAAGTAAAAAGACACGTCCTCGTATTGTTTAGCGTCACTTCAAAGCGTCAATTAATGCTGGATTTGACTTGCACGTTTGGATTAACTGCATGTCATTAAAGTCATTCTCTATTTTCTAATAATCAATAAAGAAACATTCATTTAATAATAAAAAGGAATAAGCCATTCAAATAAAGAGCTCAGTCAGCAGATGGCAGGCGGGTGCGGTTTTAAAAATTGGTCAAAAATGTTAGTGCGGATGGATGGCGGACGGATGATGAGTTTTATGATGCGGTTGCGGATGAAATAATAGCCCATCCGCGCATCTCTAATGCAAACTCCACACAGAAACCCCAACTGAGTTGAGGTTCGAACAGCGACCTTCTTGCTGTGAGGCGAATGCACTACCTACTACGCCACTGCTTCGCCCCTGTGGTTATTTTATATTAATTAAATGCAAATAATTGACTACTACTCTACTACAAACAATAAAGGTAATAATGCTGTAAACAATTATTTTTGCATAGAATGATATTGGTAAGTTGCCACATGCATTTATTTTGTTTTGCCTGTATATGTTTGTTTTTTCTATCAAGAAAAAAATGTCAGTTGCCATTGACATTAATTTTACAATTTCAGCTATAAAAATGTTATTCTAGAAAAGAAAAATGTAATCTACATCATGGATTGCATGAAGGAGTAAAGTGATAATATTAAATTTTCATTTTTAAGTTCAAGTGTTAAACTATCTCTTTGAGGCACTGTAAATGTAAACACACACATGTGCACATACCAACTTAATCTCCTCTTCATAAAAATGCATTGTACCAGATGTGTAATGAAAGTGTGCATTATAGCTAAATATTTATAAAATATGGTGAAATACTACAGAGCAGGGGTGTAAGGTATTTGAGTAACTGCACTTCAATAAGGTAGAGTATTATTATTAGGAATTTCTACTTTTACTTAATGAAAAACAAGGGGAAAAAAGCATTTTATTTTCGTACAAAAGGTGTGTATTGCAAAATGCTGAATTGTAAGTGCAAAAAGGATACTCAAATATTAAATTTGTTTTTTAAATACTTTTAATTTTGGCCTCCTTGATGAATAAACTTGAAAAATGTTACATTATTTTGTCGCAAAAAAAGCATGTGGACTTCTCTTCTAGGTAAATGGGTTTATGTTATACTATTTTTATATCAAATTTGATAGATATGTTTGCAAAAACAGGAATAGCAGTTTAGAAAAATCTAAGAAAAATGCTAACATTCAGATATACAACTATAAACTATTTGAACACTGTATGAATACTTTAAAATATTAATTTACAAAAAATGCAGTTTCATTCTTTTTTTACACAACTACTCTGAATGCATTCACATGTACTAGACTGATGCATCTAATGTGTGTAACTCAAGTTCAGCACACGGAGTGAGATCCGATAAAGGGGGTTTGACTGGGAGATCTGATCATATGTCAGCTTTTCCATCAGCCTTTCTCAGTTTAAGAGGACTTCAGCACCACTCAAATATGTGGCCACCAGATGCTGCTGCTGGATGCCTACCTTGACTTTCTCAGAGCTTCCTCATCAGGGTCTTGCACTGCAATAAAGAAAAGAAGAGAAGAGAATGTCAGATTCTTCACTCTGAATTAAAATCAACATCAAGCTAAAAGAAATTGACAGTCAGACTCACTGTATTCAGTTCCAGTAATGTGGGCGAGGACGCGGAAGGACTTGGACTGCAGCTGGGCGGCTCTTCTGGCCCAATCAGCGGGCCCAAGTTGATCGATTTCACTGGGGATGACAGCCTGATACACTGGGGAAGCACTGTCTATAACACGTTCTTTAACTGGCAGATTACTGCAACCACAGAAAGAGTCGGTCTTGTGAAATACACACGTTCTTTTCAAGCATGACAGGGGAATGTTAGGCAAAGTAGTCACTTTAAGTTATGAATGGGATGCAAATGACTATTTTTCACCAACTTATTGTGTAATAATGCATAGCAGATTGTTTGTAATACAGATTTTTCAAAATATAATGATTGAATATGCAGCATACTTCATATTGTACATGTGCTAATAAACAGAAAAGCAAGGGCATTGAGGCCAGAAGCTTGCTTATTACTACTGAATGCACTGTGACAGGATATTTTAAACCAATTTTATCTCTTACCCAGAAGAATGACAGAACAGAGCATTCAGAAAGCGCTTTGTTGACATCTAAAGTCAACCACTCAGATTGTCCATTTTCAGATCAGCAGACCCTCCTTCTGTAAACCTCACTATTTAAACATGTTTCCACCAAATACTGTCAAAGTGACCTATCTGCAAGATTAAGAGCTTCAGAAGAGGCATTTAAAACAAAGACATGAGAACTGTCCAGTAGTATGAGGTCATCTTTGCATTCAGTTAAATAGAAAAAGGAAAACAAAAATCCAACCATTTCAAAAGTCTCTGCTCATGAAAACCAGGTGCATTTGTAAATTCCAGATGCGTATCAAAGGGAGGTTAGAGGATGAGATGAGAGGGAAGTGGATAATGTGGTGATCAGGCATGCAATGCGCAAGGGATGAGACGAAAAGAGAGTGCTCATATCAAACAGATGGATCAGGCTACTTACGATAGCTGTGAGTCAGTTTCATTGCTGCCAGGCAGAGCCATTGAGATTGGACGCAGGTAGAGCGGGGACAGGGTATGGGATGGATGGACGGATGAAGCGATGAATAGTTGGGAATGGAGCGAGAGAGGGAAAATTAGAGAAAGCTTCTATGTTATGCGTTTGAGAGTGGCTTCTGATAAAAGACCGAAAGCCTAATCTCTCATTTTCAAAGCAGAATACTGACACCAGAAACATGGAAGTATGTAGATCACTGATAAAACATATTCCAAGTGGACACTGATGTGGAAAAAAGTAGGCACATACACAACTCCCATTAGTACAGATTTTCAAACATACTATAAAAACATATACGCTACTGTTCAAAAGCATTTGGTCAATAAGAATTTGTAATTTATTTAAAGGATTGTATTAAATAATTCTTTTTTTTTTAAAGACTCAAAAGCTGCATGCAGTTGATCAAAAATGCAGTTAAAATTCCACAGCCATTATTCCTACAATATAATCTACAATATCATTCTTCAGAAATCATTTAAATATGCTGATTTGGTGCCCAAGAAACAGTTTATTGAAAACAGCTGTGCTGCTCAGTTTTATGGCAAGTGTGCTACACTTGTACTTTTATTTTGATAAATATAAAGTTTAAATAAACAGCAATTATTTTAAATAGAGAAATCTCATTATGATTTAAAGGTCTTTGTTAGCTTGATTGTTAACATTTAATAGTACCACTGGATTATGAGAACATGTATCACTCCAGTCAGGTTAAATAAAATCAAGTATCCCAAACACATGCATCAAATGTTCAGTTGAAAAAGTTACACTTTTGAACTGTATGTGGGATTGCCAAAAGGAATTTTGGAAAGAGGTGGCTATGTTCATTTTTGAAATGGTATCTATAAACCTGCCAATGAAACCGTAAATGTTTATTTTGGGAATTACTTGTGAAAATATTGATTGTCACAGCAGTACTAGTAAACTTATCGATATAAGTATACTCCAAGCACAGTGTCTTATAGCTTTGTACTAGAGGAATATGGAAAGGCCCTATATTGTACAGTGGATCAATATTATGTGCTTCTGTTTAGCTATGGAAAAGATTTCAAACATGTTAAAAGGCAAGCTTATTGTTTTGGGGAAAATGTATAGATACTGTTCAATTCAAATTCAAATTCAAATTTCAGCAATTTGCCTACTAAATGAAACAGGAAAAGAATAAATAAACTGACACTAACTTACAATATTAACATATTCCTCCTATTTCCAAAGACTTATTTTAACAAACCATTGTCATATTAATGGTTTGGTGCATGCTTTCCACAGATGATTTGTATTTTCAACAATTTCTCCTAGTTTTTTTTTTCTTCTAGTTTTTTTCTAGAATAATCTCTACCTAATTTAAACAATGTGTCCCCCCCCCCCCTTTCCTTTTTATTTAATTTCTTTTTTATCCCTTTTTTAGTTTTGTATGTTTTTATTATTGTTCTTGTTTTTTCCTCTTAATTGAAAACAAGGATGTAAATATGATTGTGGTGTTATTTTTAATACATCTCAATAAAAAGATTGTTAAAGAAAGTCTTAAATGCCATATTTGATCAACTAAATGCATCCATGATGAATATGAACATTGTTTTTTGTCTTAAAGTCTTACAAATGACCCAAAACAATTGAACAGCACTTTATCCATTTACCCTGCCTTATACTGTGCAACCGAGGATCCCTATCATCCAATAATACAACTAGCTCCACAAAAAGTAAACATACCTTATGCTAACATCAAAAAAACTTCCTTCTGCTTCTATACAGAGACATGTTCACATCATACGATATACATCACCATTAAATCAACTATATTAAATTGACATCATCTCCAAACTATCAGACATCCTTGGGAAGTCTTTAGCCTGTTGAGCATTAGCATTAGCTTGGCCCAGTCAAGCGTGGCATTAAGGCAAACGTGTGTCATGCAGGTGATGGGAGAAGAAAGGAGGTGCATCGGGTCTTACCCGGACATTTCGCTACCCCTGGCCTGGGACTGACCAGCGATGGCATCCATTATAGCATCCTGGGAGTACATGCTGATGGGGGTGTTGTACTGGGCATGGATGATGGTGGCCTTTCCTCCAGGCCCCTTCACCTCGATGGGCTTGTTGGTGGAGAGGGCAGTGTCCTTCAGTGCTATAGGGTTGAAGCTGGGCAGGAACTCATTGCTGTGCAAGTGAGGGAGTGATGATAAGGGATAGATATGTGTAAAACAAAAACAAGAGAGATCAAATGGAGGTCAGTGCAAGAGAGTGAGTGGAAAGTGAACAGGGAAAAGTGAAAGGTAAGAAACCAGTTGATGATACCAGCATACTGTATGTCTCGATGCTGGCATTTCAACAAAGCTTCTTGAATTCAATTAGCTGCCAGAAAAATCATGCTGGACAATCAGTTCTGCTAGCTAGCAGCATGTTTATATTAGACCAGTCTTGACCAGCATGGAAATTCATGACAGAAGGCAAGACAAAATGAGTAAAAATGTATGATGGTAATTAAAGACAAACATATAAATTAAAGGCTTAGCAAAAACAATGCTTCAAAAACACATTTACACCGCAAAACATTACTACTGCACGCTATAGCAGGAAGTGCAACATAACATAAGCATGGATGGGAATCTGAAAAAATGTAACAAATCTGGTTTTGATTCTTGAGCTGTGTTCACCCTGAGTTTAAATCTGATTATTTGTGTATCTGATTTATTTTTCTGTAAATAATTACATCATAACTGTGTTTCTCCACTCTTGTGTCCCGTCGCATTCTTTCGTTCATAGCAATGCTATTATGTTGGCATGCATAAAAACAGCAGCGACAGGGTTTCCAATACAGATGTTGTCTTGACAATGTGCGTCATTGCTCTTTATCAATATTATGCCAATGATGTAAGGCACCAACAGTAGGGGTGTCAGAATGAATTGTTTCTACGGTGCACCGCGATGCAGATGGGGACAATTCCATATCGGTTCAGTAATAGATCATAACCGGTTATTACGTACTGACGTCATTTATCGCCTATGCACGATGTCGCAGTAGAATACTATGGCGAAGGAGGGATGAGTAAATAAAATGCTCTTACTACTTAAAAGGTAGATGATTATGCACAGTTTAACAGCTTGTGAATTTGCTGGAAAGTCTTTTGTTGACACCGAAGAAGGAACAGCACACGAGCCGCTATTTAGAGAGAGATGCCGTAAAACTCCATCTCTCTCTCACACACACTTTGGACATTTGATCCGCTGTGTTGGCCTGTTTGGGAGGTAACTTTTCTTCTCCTCTCGGCTGTTAAAGTGATAATTGTGGATCCAGACACGAGCGTGCATGAGTTGTCAGTTTTGTCCACTGTGTCTATTACGGATTACCTGTGATTGGAGTTTTCTTTGAAACATTCAAAAAGAGTGTTTTCTTTGAGCAGATCAAATAAAATATACAGTTCATATATATTACTGCTTGTATTATGATATTGTATTACAAATAATATACAAATATTAGTATATTTAAAGATTTTGATTTAAAAAAATTATTGTGTTGAAGAAAAAATCTAATTGTTTATAGAAAGCATTGTCAATGCACCGTGATGCACCGAGATATCGAATTGAAGCGAATCGATGGCATGATAATCGTCACCGAACCGAACTGTGAGACCAGTGTAGGTTCACACCCCTAACCAACAGTTACTTGCATGGGTTAATTCAATGTTGCAATCTTCACCATTCACAAAAATTAAATTGTAAGTTTTGCGTTTTTAATAAATTGGAAAAAACATTCAGCATTTTGTCTACAAACAGCTTCTCATGTGTACTGTAGCATATGCAACAAAGCTGTGCACAACCCAATCTAAAAAAAAAAAGTATTTAAAATGGATTGCAAACCACATATAATTGCAGTTTGAAATTAAGTTGTAAAAGCTGTATTCTATCTGTAAATCCATCAATTTCACCATGGTGTGAATTCAGCATAAGAACCAATTTTTGATTCCCAACCCAAACACTAAAAACATTGTCACAAACGAAATTACGACAAACACATTCTCTACACTAAGCAAAGCAAACCTCTATCCTCCTGAAACACACTCACACACAACATCACAGTGCTAGGTTCCTCATAAATACATATACCCAAGCAGTACGTTTATATATACCCAGCACAGATTCTGTTTCACTGTGTTGTAGTATAGGTTTACATTAAGCATTAGTGGACCATTAAAGCAAGCTCTGTTTGCACAGGAAGACAAATCTCACTAACCACACTTTATTGTTGATAAGACACCACAAAGGCAGTTCCAAACAATTCCATGCATGTATACCACACAGAGCACTACAATGCTATGCCAGGAGGCTGTTACTAACTTGGCAGGAGCGTGGGTAATAACCTACAAGGGGCAAAAGGAAAAAGAAACAAGTGCATTGGTTAGCAACTCATTTTAAGTTTAACAGTGAAGCATTGTGCTGATGAATGCTTCTCAATGTGTGGAATCTTATAAGATGTATTCTAAAGGTGACAGTACTGAGAGCCAAACTGTAAAATAATTAGTTGACAAACATTTCCCATTTTCCCCAGGTTATCCACTCTGACTCTGACTAGATTGGTGCAAAACAGCAACAATGTAGGACCTATAAACATATTCCACAGTGGTTTGCATGTGAAACGTACGGTTAAGGTAATACAACACTAATAACTTTTGTCCCTTTCACTCAAATTTGATGAGAGATTATTATACAATGTTTTGATCTCAAAATACTCCAACTATAGTATGTCATGTAAATATCCATCTTGATAATTCATTTATGAACTTATACGATGCTCAGCATAATTGAGTACACCACGTATTGAAAATTAATATTTTTCTTCATTTCTCAGTGAATATAGGCAATGTATTTTGGTGCATTTAAACAAAGAGGTTTATTAAACAGATATATTTATTATAACAATATTTTAGTCACCAAACATATTTAGAAATTAAAAGATAATACAATTAAATTCAAGCTAAATATTACAAAAAATAAAAAAATTAAATTACAATCTACAAAATTGTAACATTTTTTGCTTCTCTTGATTCTTCCTTTTTTTCCAATTTGAATTTAATATTTTTCTAGAACATATTAATTTGGGTGTACTAGTTTTTGGACTGTTATTATAAGTTATTTTGTTACATAAGCTCCAGATTTGGCTTCTGACTAATCTAATGCACAAATATAATATTGTATAGCTTCCTATTAAAAATATGAATTTAAAAAATAGATTTTTGAGGGGTGAACTTATATACAGTATGCTGAGCACTGTAACTGTTATGAGAAACAATGTGTTTCACTTTGCAGAAATATAGAGGAAGTCATGCATTTACATTTAATAAGCCTGGGATTCCATTGATTTAGTTAAAGTTTCCCCTTTTGGCATACTCAAATATGTCAGTTCTACTTGTAGAACAGAAATTACACAGTTCACACATATTTCAGATTGATAGTTCAGCCAAAAATTAATTATACACACTCTAAACATTTTTCAAATCTATACAAGTTTAAGTTTTAGTCTTAAGCTGAACACAATAGAAAGAAAATTAGAGAAATGTTGGTAACACAAACAGTTGATCAAATTCACAGACTTCCATTAAATGTCTGAAGGCCAAGATTTTGCAAAGTACCATTTTTATAGTTTATCACAATAAAACAACAACTTGAGGATTAGAAAACAATGACAGCTTTATGTTTTTAATGAACATTTTAGAATCTCTTTAAGAAGTAAAACCATTCTTCAGTTTGAGTGTGTGTATGTGTGTTTGCCAGACTAAAAACAACATATTTGTGCTCACACAATAGTGAATCATTTTCAAAAGGACAAACAAATAAATCATTGAAAAAGAAAAATGGGTTTTAATGTGAGAGCCTCCTTGCAAAGATGTGTAAGGAGGGAGTGAGGGGGATGCAGTATCGGTGAAGTTAAGAAACTGAACCCTGACATTCCATAGCCTTTTATAGCGAGCGCTGCAACAGGTGCTCCCTGACCAGTCTCTATAGTGACTGTGTAACTGTATCACTCCACAGCCTGAGATTTCCTCTGTGCTGTGACACACGCCGAGACCCTTTTTGACTCGTATGAGGAAGAGAGTAAACGGAGAGGGGTACAGGACAATGTCATCCATTCCCCTAATCCACTACAGTACAGCCAAAGTGCATTGCTTTGAGGTTACAAGGTGGAACTGAAACGGTCAAACTGGGAAAGTGATATACAGTGCTTTTAATGTCTCAAAATGACGGCTTGCAGAGTTTTTTTTTTTTTTTTTTTTTTAGAGAAACAATAAAGCAAAAAGACTACTGCTCAAAACAATGAGATCTAGAAGTCTGTTCTTTAAAGATGTCTTTTTATACCCGCATTTGCAAAGCAAAACATTTATTACTTCAGCCTTTAGTGTCACGATCCTTCAGAAATCTTTCTAAGATGCTGATTAGCTTATTAAGAAATACTTAAGTTGAGAAAAAAATCTTTCAGTATTTTTATGGTAAATGTTTTTATAAATGATTATATGACATTTCTGGCTAATGCATAGTTTTGCTACTGAATATTCCAGTAGCTTTAATATTTAATATTTGTATTTACAATCATTAATTTGGCAGACACTTTTATCCACACGACTTGTAAATGAAGACACCGAAAGAAAGTGTCTTGGAATGTCAGAGTAGAATTCTGTTAGAAGAGGGAAAAGATGATAAAAAAACAATATCTTAAAGAAGCAGAGCAACATTATTATGTAAAAAAGAAAGAATAGAAAATAGACAGAAAAAGATGTTACCTAGAAACTGTCAAAGACATGAATGTTTAAAAGAACATCATTTATTTGAAACACAAAGCTTTTGCAGCATTATTAATCCCTTTACTTTTAATCAATTTAATTTATGCTCTCTGAACATAATTTGTATTTTCTTTCAAAAGAAACATGTCTTATTGACCTCAAACTACTGAATAAAGCTTTAAAATCCATTCTTACAGCTAACTTTTCACTTTGAGTCCTCTGGTGGACGCATCATCTCCTATACCCCGATCATTGTACCTGAAGGAGGGCCACTGAAGGGAAAACTGAAGCGTCAGCTCAAATTTGTCTTGTGCATTCATTCAGAGGCTTGAAGCCTTAACTAGATCTCTCTCTCTCTTGTCTGCAGTGGGGAGTGGAGTCAATGTAACAGATGTAACCTGTCTTTTCTGAATGCTGCATGACCGCTGCCATTCTTCTGTCAAAGAGCAAAATTAGCAACCAGGTGGGCCTGAGTTATAACCACAACAGTGATTGTGCCTAATGGTAATGCTTTAGATATTACAACCTGCAATTTACATGGCCAGTACACCTGAAAGTACAGCATTCTTTTTGTAAAAATAAGCTATATTTATTAATGTCACATAAATGATATATTTACCATTTGCCTAACCCTACAAACATTATGCAATAATTGCAATAATTATGGAGAAAATTCTATTTGCAAATTTCAATTTGCCTAGCCTTTTCAAATTTTGTTTATAGCATTATAGTAACGAGAGGGAGAATGTTGAATTTATTGCCATATCAGTCTCCCTAGCTATTTCATGGCAAAACCAGATCATTTTATAAATATAACTTTTCTAAAAACAATTATAACAGTAAAAAACACAATCTGAAATTAATACTACATAAGCTAAAAGTCTAAAACTTGTCTAAGGTTTACTTTTAATACAAATTCTGGCATTTTGAAGGATTCACATTTAAAAATGTTTCCTATAAAATCTTTTTAGATCTCTCCAACCATCCAAAATCATTGTCTGATAACATTATTTTGAAAAAGTATAGTAGACCTATATAGCGCTGAGGTATTTTGTATTGTGATTTGTGCTGAAAAGTCATAAGGTGGGTTTCAGCAACGCTGCACATTAATGGCAAGCAGCATAATAATGCAAATTCTGAAATAAATCATAATGGTCTGTAAATTAAAGTGGTGCCTATTACCTCCTTCTTTCCCCAAAGCTTTTACTATTATTTTAATACTATTATATCTCCTTATATTTACATGTATGTTCCCTTTAGGTGCACTATTATTACAAAACAAAAACTGTATCTGTACATTCATTAAACATTCTAAATTCAGTAAACTTGCTCTGTGATTTGCAGGCTGTAATCTACAGCATTACCTGTTTAATTAATTTAGCAATTATCAAATTTTTTCTCATAGAATTGGTTATGTTTAACCGCACATGGCTGCTAGTGTCAAGTTTCGCTCTATGTCTGATTACATACCCGCTAGTCATGCCTGACCCCGAGCCCTTTGCTCTTTCCTGCAACATGGCCATTTCTCTCAGTGTCTCAGCAGAGTACAGGCCGATGGGGGAGTTATACTGCTGGCTTTTCTGTCTGGAGCTGGATTTGTCCCTCGGAGCAGCTAAATGCCCCTGAGCAGGCACAGAAGTCTCTCCGCTACTGCTCAGCACAGAGCTATAGGATGGGCTGGTGTTTTTGCATGAGTTTGTCTCAGCAGAAGATGAGAGAGCCCCATTTATTTGCACAGGATGATCCTTAAAAAAGAGGTGTATGTGTGTGTGGAGAAAAGTATTGAGAAAGAAAGCAGCGAGAAGGAGAGGAAAGCTGAGAATGAGAATGGAAAATAACATCCAGGACATTTTGTAGAAATATATATATATATACATATATATATATATATATATATATGCTGTCTTTCTTTTCTTTTTCATTCCTTTAAAACCTGTTTTAACACATTTTAATCTATTTTTATCAGTTTCTAATAATTTTTATTTTTTCTAGTTTTTATTTTCTTATACTTTCTTATATACTTTTCTTATATATTTCTTTTATTCCTGTTTATGTAAAGCACTTTGAATTACCATAGTGTATGAAATGTGCTATATAAATAAACTTGTCTTGCCTAAATAAACTTCAGAAAATTTCAGAAAACAAACTTTCTAAATTACTTTATAACATTTTATTTAGACTTGTTCTCAAAAACCTGCCTTTGTTTACTATAAAACTACTATAAAAACTGTTATACTTAAAAATATTACACAAATTTTTAAATAAATAAATAAAAAAAATTAATAAAATACTTATATTTATAAAATAATGTAAAATGTAAGTCACTACAAGTCTTCAGTATCACATGACCCTTCAGATCCAATCAAGTTTATTTATTAGCTATTTAATATTTGGGAAATTTTTGATCTAACTTTTTTGATGAACAGGAATGAATACTATACAAAAGTATTTCTTAAAATACTGATCCCAAATGTTTGAATGCAAGTGAACATACAAGTCAAGATTCTTAAACAGAAGTTTTATAATTAAAAGCATGGCTCCTTTGAGTTTCTAAAATTGCGTTTGCAATTCAATGCCAAACTATACAATTACGCGGTGCAAAGTGAAGAACAGCAGGGGGCGACATAAGGCTTTTTATGATTGCAGAACATAAAGAATATCCGAAAGGCATTTGCAGCTATCATTTTAGCCTCTTAAAAATCATTACCATAATCCTGTAAAAGAAAAAAAGTCCCTTTCAACTGCAGATTTCAACTAAAGCTTGTTTTGAGGCTTAAATAATACTATTTGAATGTAAATGTGGAGTGCTTGATTTAAAACATCTGAATGCATGGACATACAGTAACAGTCGCAGAATACAGGTATGCATAATTATTGACAGACCTTCTGATGAGGAATCACAGGCATCGGAGATTCAATTCTTGGTGTGGCAATTGGAACTGGGGTGGGTCGCTTTGACCTGTTGTAAAATAAGCAAATTAATATTTGAACAGCGTCTGGATCACAAAATGACTAAATCGCAGCCATGTACAAATATTTTCAGCATTTCTGGTCTCACAACTTTTGTTTGAGATTGGACACAGGTATAACAACAACAATAATGAATCCCATCCACAACAGAAGCAGTTTTTGTTGGAGCCATCTGAAAAATGCTTTTGTCCACAAAGGCTTTGTGGCAAATTGAAGCTTTTCAGAAAAAAAAGCTGTACTTGTACACAAAGGGGTAAAGCAAACTAACTTTATAACATGCATAGTTTGAAAATTTGTGAATAAAAGAGTAGCACAAAAACAATTGATGGTGTTTTCTTGCACAAATAAGGAATGTCCTTGAAATATCACAGTGATAAAAGTGATAACATTTTATTTTTACTGTTTCATCCAATCTTTCACTACATGTCCAACAATGCTTGTAGAGGGAACTCTGGGATCAATTAGGAGTGTTAAAGTAAGGAAGATGGGCCGGTGTAATCCCTGCAGGTATGCACTGAGAGGGGAAATAAAGGTGAACATGCCTTTTTTGGGTTTTGCTCATGTTGTGAACTAACAGTAAACCTGACTTAAGCACTAAGACACATCAGAATTGAGATCAGGAATGTTTTTAGAAAGTTCCTCAGATCTCACGGTTGACTGGTGCAGAAACAGTTCATGAGGGAGAAGCTTCACTAACTCGATCTGGATCAAAAACATCTCAAATAAAAAGGAATGTTTAAATAAATGGCATGATAACTGTAATGTCAAGCCACTTTGTTGATTCATTGATCACAGTTATCCATAAGGGAGCCAACGCAACCTAAATACAATTATGAGCCAATTATATATGTAACAATTCATATACAGTTGAAGTCAGAATTATGTGCCTCCATGTTTATTTTTTCCCCAATTTCTGTTTAATGGAGAGAAGATTTTTTAACTAATTTCTAAACATAATTTTTTTAATAACTCATTTCTAATAACTGATTTATTTTATCTTTGCCATGATGACAGTAAATAATATAGGTATTTTTCAAGACACTACTATACAGCTTAAAGTGACATTTAAAGGCTTAACTAGGTTAATTAGGTTAAATAGGCTGGTTAGGGTAATTAGGCAAGTTATTGTCTAACGATGGTTTGTTCTGTAGACTCGAAAAAAAAATAGCTTAAAGGGGCTAATAATATGACCTTAAAATAGATTAAAACTGCTTTTATTCTAGCTGAAATAAAACAAATAAAGCTTTCTCCAGAATTAAAAATATGATCATATATTGTACTCATTGTAAAAATCCCCTTGCTTTGTTAAACATAATTTGGGAAATATTTGAAAAAGAAAAGAAAATTCAAAAGCGGGGGTAATAATTTCATCTTTAACTGTATATATTTTTTTTGCTGAGGTTAGATGTTACTCACATATAGAACTGCTTAACATGATCTTTCTAATGTGGTCCATTATGGGTATTGTCTAAACCAGGAATGGCCAAACTTTTTCATAAAGGGCCAAAAACCAAATATTATTGAGAGCCGTGAGCCGAAGTAAATATACCAAAACAATATTAAAGTTGTCATGGGTCATTTCCTAATTTATTAAAAACATTAATTAAATCGTATTAACTAATGCAGTATAATGTTTGAAACGATAACTTATGCAATAAAAGCATAAACAATCACATATATAAGAAAGTGGAGTTGAATACATTTTTCGTCTCTTCTCAGATGGGACAAAGAGCCAAGTCAAAGGTTACCATGGACCAACTTTAGCCAGCGGGCCCAAGTTTGTGCATCTCTGGTCTTAACAGTCAAAGCAATGCACTGACTGTTCATCATAACACCATGATAATTCATAAAACATTGTTTGTTTTTATACAATATTAAATTAGATGAATTATTCAACATTAGAATTTAGTCTTACAGTCTGAAATGCTTACATCAGGAAAAGATATCAATATTTTGTTTGAAAAAGATTCCAATATTTAATGCAACTGAAACAGTAACATTTTGCACCTATTAATATTTTATAAAATTCACAGACAAGGCTTAAGACTAGCCTCATACCTTTGGCACCTAGACTGCAGCTCTGCACAAGACGTTTGGCCATAGGAGAAATAGTCGTGCCCAATGGTCAAGCCTTGTTTCTCTCAAGGTTTTTTAATTCTTCACCTTCGTCAATTGTTGAAGTTTTTTCCTTGCCGCTGTCGCCACTGGCTTGCATTGTTCGGGACCCGTGGAGCTGCGCATCAATGGATTTGCTCTTCAGTGTTTGAACTCTCAGCAGTGAATTTTAAACCACACTGAACTGAACTAAACTGAATGCAAACTCTGAAAACTGAACTGACAGTTTCAATTTACTATTATCATCTATGTGAAGCTGGACCAAGGCTTTACTTGATCAACAGTGTTATAAAAAAAGTTTACATCATGAAATATCATTAAAATTTAAAAATGTTTATTAAAATATAATGGTTTCTGTGGGGTGGCGCGGTGGTGCAGTAGGTAGCTCTGTCACCTCACAGCAAGAAGGCTGCGGGATGGAGCCTCGGCTGGGTCAGTTGGCATTTCTGTGTGGAGTTTACATGTTCTCCCCATGTTCCCGTTGGTTTTCTCCAGGTGCTCCAGTTTCCCCCACAGTCCAAAGACATGCAGTACAGGTAAATTGGGTAAGCTAAATTGGCTGCAGTGTATGAGTGTGAATGAGAGTGTATGTGTGTACTTGTGAAGGGTTGCAGCTGAAAGGACATCCACTGTGTAAAACATTTGCTAGATAAGTTGGTGGTTCATTCCGCTGTGGTGACCCCTGATGAGTAAAGGGACGACGCCAAAAAGAAAATAAATGAATGAATGAATTGTTCCTGTACTTGCCAAGCGGATTACACGTTTTAACGCAGCGGATGCCCTTCCAGCTGCAACTCATTTCTGGGAAACATCCATGCACACACACTCATTCACACACACACTTATACACTACGGACAATTTAGCCTACCCATTTAACCTGTACTGCATGTCTTTGGACTTGTGGGGGAAACTAGGGCACGAGGAGGAAACCCAAGCGAATGCAGGGAGAACATGCAAACTCCACACAGAAACGCCAACTGACCCAGCCGAGGCTCAAAACAGCGACCCAGCGACCTTCTTGCTGTGAGGCGACAGCACTACTAATTATTATTTTCGTATTTGTTTATTATTTAAGTTAAGCATTCCTTAACAGTCTCAAATTTTTACAAGCAATGTGCACCGATATGATTTTCAGTAATACTTAAATGAAAAAAAATATATAAACTGTGTAATACTTCCTCAATAGTGTAATCCACACATTCATTTTATATGAAGCTAAATGTAATTTTTTCATTCTGATCTAACTGCTTATAGTGCAAAAAATCTAAATCATATATGAATAAGAAAGATATTTAAATCAACTGCAGAGTGACAACAGCCTTCTTTAACATTGTTACGTCAGTGCTAGGCAGCCTTGAGTTGAAGCACAGGGCTGGAAAATAGCTTATCAAGTTAAATGGAGTATGATGTTGCTGATGGATGAATGGACTCTCGCCAGAGGCTCTGAAGAAAGAAAGCTTATAGACACTGGAGATACTAAATGCATCATAGCCTGATAACCACTCTCTGCTTTGAGCTTTTATGGTAATAGGACACTTGGTTATAGGACACAATCAGTAGGCAGTCTGATCATTATACTCTTTACGTCTTCGTTTTTGACTGGCAAAGGAAACATGAAGGCAATAAAATCACATGACCTTTTCGTGGCTGAACACATCTGAGTTCACATACACAATCTCAGTCACATATGTTTGTGATATATTCAATCTGTAGTCTGTTTACGGTTCGTAAAAGTTAATTCCATGATTGATGACTGTGAACAGTCTACCTACTTTTATTGCACGGCATTGAATGCAACAATAAACAATAGCACTTTTATCACTATGAGACACTCTTCTGTATTTATACAGCTGTATTCATTGTTATTTAAACTAATAATTTGTAGCTGGAGAATCGTCAGCTGACCAATATTTGAGTGTTTTTCTCAAGAGTTGTACTTTACTAAGTAGGTTTAAAAATGAAAAAGCAGTTTTAAAAATTATTACGGTATTCTATTACTATTTTTGTGCTATATCAGTACATTTACACCACTATTTATCAAAAAATACTTTATTTTTATTGTCTACTGTGATTGGCTAAGTAATATTATTCGTACCATAAGTACGATAATCAAAACGCTCACAGAAAAATCACACCAGACAGACCAACTTCATAACATTATACGGACACTTTATAAAAGCTTAAACATGTACAGTGTGAAAGTATTAAACTAAGTGTCCAATACTCCAATTGTATGATGACTGAAATCCCTAGTTGGCTTTATACAATAGCTTAATTCAATACAGAATGTTACGTTTTCAAACACATGCACAAACATGCATGTATTCTACCAACTTAAACAAAGTTTGTCACTTTGCGCAAGCAGCTGGACACACTCAAAAAAAGATTTTTTGCTGCTTGTTCAAACTACTTATTTAACATGAGCTGAATCAACATAATTCTTGAGTTATTTGGGGGACAACTCAATTGTTTTTGGGACCTATCAATCACCCGGCGCAATAGGGTGCAAGATAGGTTTGGTGCGATTTGTTGCTATTTTCAGACTAAAGCAACCCTAATTTTCCTGCTTTGTGACACTTTGTTTAAATAGCTTATCCATTTGTGCTGCTCTGTGGACTTGGGTGTGCTGGTCTAGAAAAGGAGGTGTGTGAAGGCACACTGTTGGCACATTGCTATTTTGAGGAACTAGACTGTGCAACTGACTAGCTAAAAGCTGGTCAAATGTCAAGCGCAGAGCGCGTTGGTTGTACGCCTTAAATGCGTTCACATTGCTTAATACACACAAGATGTACAGCACAATACGCAAATAGCTTTACAAATGGAAAACAATTAAAGGATTAAAATATTTTAAAAAGTATTATTTTCAACATAAATATAAAAACAACTGCCTTCATGTCAGGGAATGAACGGCCAACTTATCTGGCACGTTTTTACACAGCGGATGCCCTTTCAGCTGCAACCCATCTCTGGGAAACGTCCACACACACTTATACACCATGGACAATTTAGCCTACCCAATTCACCTGTACTGCATGTCTTTGGTCTGTGGGGGAAACCGGAGCACCCGGAGGAAACCCACGCGAAAGCAGGGAGAACATGCAAACTGCACACAGAAACGCCAACTGACCCAACCGAGGCTCTAACCAGCGACCTTCTTCCTGTGAGGTGACAGCACTACCTACTGCGCCACTGCAACGGCCCTTTTTTCAGTTTATTTATGACAATTTGCTTTTGTATAATGTTATTATTATTCGCAGTGTTATTAAATGCATATTTGTATTTGTTTTAATAAAAACAAGCTTAGATTTGTCCACCTGATGGGTTTTGGAGACGCATGTATCAATATATGGGGCATAAGAAGGTGTGTACTAAGATTTTTGACCACACTTCATTATTATTGTTCATTTATTTGTTTGCTAAAAATTAGAACTGAATTTAGAAATAGTTTTGAAACAAATCTTTGCGCTTAACAAACAAAATTAAACATGTAGGCTAATGTAGGTCTTCAGTAGAGTGCGTACAAAATTTCTTCTTTATCCACAAAAGTATAGGAGTAAAGTAAAGAGTAAAACAATAGACTTGTTCTTTTTTCTCGCTGTAGATGGTCTGTTTAACTTGCTAGTAAAGCGTTCACTTTTTCCACTTTCCGCAATGTAAAGGGAATGATGAGGCTCTGATTGGTTTAGCGCTATTTATGCTCAAAACACACCCATAACTCAATAAGAGAATAAGCACAACCCTGTTAGACCATGCACCGCAAAGCAAACTGTATTTTTCCATCCTTAAAATAGCAAAAGTGGACCCCATGCACTTTAGACTTTGCACCTAAATTGTTAAAATAGAGCTCTTTATGTCCAATTCACTTAAATCTGCAAGAAAAACTAAGATAACTTATTTGATTTTTGTTGGGACAACATGAAAATCAGCTAGGCATGGGCAGGTATAAGTTTCTGATGGTATGATAATATTGGATAAAAATACCACAGTTTCAAGAAACATTTATAATATTCTAATACAGTAAACATGTCAGGTTAAATGGTGAAAAAAACTTTTGTCCTCTTAATTAGTTCCAAAAACATATTTCTTTACGACACATAAAAAATACATTAAATAGCCCTTACATATTAGGAACGGTATAACAGAACATTTTAGTGGTAATAGTCCTTGACTTTTCCAAACCGCGGTAAACCTTGAAACTGGTTATTGTCTCATGCCTAAACCCAGCATTTTTTACAGTGCACTCATAGCTTGTTAGTCAGGATTTAAAGTGCACAATAAACATATTGTGACAGCTAGATGTTTGCCTCTAATTACATCGCTCTGTATGCAAATACATCAAGAAGCTACATTTTTAATTTTCATGCTACAAGTTAGAAACAAATTCACAGCATAATACTCATTACTCACTACTCTTGAGTACTTTTAGAGGTACTACTTTTTACTCATATTTTGAGTTGTGTGTAGAACAGATACTTATTTTACTTGCACTACATTTTTTGCCAAGTAATGGCACATTAACATGAGCATGATTTTCCACCACTGCAGATAACACAAGAGCAAGAGAAAAACTAGACTGTCTAAGAGCTGTCAGAGAAGATACTGATCGCTATAAGCTTATGGTCGCCAAGACAGATGAAATATCAGCGCGGATCACAGTGTAAACATGGCAGATCGTTTTATTGCCTTCACCAGAATGGAAGCTTAGAAGAAACTCAAACGGGAGCCATGCTGGGATGTTATCCCTGAGCAAAACTTCCTGGTGTCATTTTAATCAGGATGAGTGATTCAATCCAACAGTTCTTGCTCACATTTTTCCAAGCTCTAAATGTGACTTATGTTGTGCACAATACTGAGTTTTGCATTACTGCCATGTTCCTCCTTCAGTGTCATTATTCAAACCTTTGAACAGTCGCCATGCATTTTATGGTTTCAAATGTTATTGGCACAACTTAATAAAGGTGTAATATGGCTTTAGTTCATAATAAGATATTACTACAAAATTAGCAAGAAGTTAATGATTTAATTTAACAGGGATCCATTAATGTAGTCAAAAGACACAGTAAAAGCAATGTTCATACAAAGCATGAAGCTGATTAATCAGTTCTTGTCACGTAACTCGAGGTTTTTAAATGGGACTTGTGGTTTTCAACTTGCACACGTGCAAAAGTCAAGATATGTGAACTGCCCCAAGCAGCTACACTTCTCTTTAACATTCAGAAGATACCTTGACACCCAATCCTGGACAAAAATCCAATTTAGCCTGTTTAGGCCGAGTTGGGCTGCAGTGTTTTTTGGCACAGGCGTCCTCCTTGGTGATGAGTGCTGTCATAGAATGCTTTCTATTCAAGTGCTTGAACAAGTTGCAAAAAAACAAACATAAAAACAAGCTGAAGTAGTTTTTTCCCCTTTTATTTCCAATTTACTGTATTCTTCATATTCAAGTGGGCGCAGCTATTGGAATCTTATTGTCCCGAGACTGCTGCCTCATTCACTTCTATTCATTTATAGACAATAAACACAGCTTGTTATGCTGCTTGATGTTGCAAACTGATATTTTCTTTTTATGTATATTCATAAACACAGTTGTTTAAAGAGCAAGTACTTTGACCATTTAGTTTTTTCCCAGTGATTTTTCTTATAGGCAACTGAATCTAAATGTTTTGAAAATATCACACAATGAGTGCATTTCTGCATTGCAGAATAAGGTCACTAGACAGTCACAAGACAATGTTTTAAAAATGTATACACTGTCTAATCTGTCTCCTTACCAGTGTTAGGTAAGTTACTTTAAAAAATTATTACAAATTACTGACTACCAATCAAAAAGTATAATCTGATTACATTACTAATTACTTATTGTAAAAAGTAATCATATTACTAACTACTTTACTTTGAAGTTACTTTTAAAACTTCACCTTATAAAATTACCTAAAATACAAAATATTTACTGAAAAAACATTACAATGGGTTGATTACAGCAGCCTGACGTATTCAAAAGACTTAAAGAGTTTGGCCAAAAACTAAAATACTCTCATCATTGACTTGTTCCACACCATTTTTTTTTAAACACAAAAGAAGACATCAAGACACTAACTGAATATCTGTAACCATTGACATCCATGATATAAAGAAGCATATAAATCCATGATATAAAGAAGCACAGCAGTTTTTGGCTGTTCTGTGTTTGTCTGAGGTAATCAGTCAACCCAAGCCAACCCCATACAAAATATGAAGCTGATCAATCAGTTCTGGTCAGGTGACTCATGGTTTTCAACTGGGACTCGTGGTTTGAACTGCCCCAAGCAGCTACACTTCTCTTCACATTCAAAAGATACCTTCACTCCCGATCCTGCACAAAAATCCAATTTAGCCTGTTTAGGCCGAGTTGCGCCGCAGTGTTTTTTGGCATAGGTGTCCTCCTTGGTGATGGGTGCTGTCATAGAATGCTTTCTATTCAAGTGCTTGAACAAGTTGCTAGTCGCGTTAAAAACAGTTGACAGTTCTTTAGAGACTGGACATAGATGGTATTTCACAGATGGTATTCCATAGATGGTATTTTTGTTTTTATGCTCAATGAAATCTAATTAATGTCTGTATTTCCACTTGAAGAAGCACTCTTGTAAGCAGCCATTTCAGCTCACATTCTTCAGCAATTTAAAATGCATGCTTATTGACTGATGTTGCAGTGGGAATGCGTGATTTAAAGGAAGCATTTTTGCTTCTAAAACTATATTTTTAACGCAAGTAAGACAATAACATTGACTTAAGTAATTGTAAGTAACTGTAACCAATTTACACAAATTTCAAACGTAATTCATTACATTACTGCATTGCTCAAAAATGTAATTATAATACAGCACAACTCTGCTTCTTACAATAACCCTATCCCTAAACCCAACCTCACAGAAGACAACCTGCATTTCTACATTTATTTTTATTCCTAAGATCTGTAATGGGGACCAAATCTCAGGGAAAATCAGATGCAAACACTCCAGAGAAAGCGAGTTTTCATGTTTCACGGGGACTTTCCACAAATTTTTATAACAATTATTACACTGTACACAGCCCTTACAGAAAATATCTAACAAAACGAGTAAATGGAAAGTAATTGTAACTATTTTTGGCTTTTATTTCTACTTCGAAAAAATATATTTAAGTGGCCAAAAAATGTAATCATGCACTGATAAGTACATTCAACACTATCTACTGCAGCAAGCCTAGTCTTTACAACACAATAACCACCTGAACTACACAACAACGAAGACACACTAACAATACACTCTACCTTTGCATGGTGAGAGCCAGATTGAAGTTGGCAGACTTGATCTTGTTTTGGGCCTCCAGGTGTGTCATCCCGTCTGTGCTGACCCCATCAATGGCCACGATGATATCCCCCTGGATCAGATTGCTGGAGGCCGCCTTGCTCCCCGGTGTAATCTGCCACAAACCAAACAAGCCTTTGAATGAAATCCTGACAGGTCAGCACCTCTGCAAACACATTACCTGGACAAAGCAATCATTTGGTTCTTATTTGTCCGTCGCCGCGTGAAACTGATAACGCAGATGTGATGTATGAATAAAGCCCAACAAAAGAGAAGACCCCGCCATCTGCAGGTGCATGCTTGATACCCTCTTAATAAAATCAGTGGAGGATAAAAACACACACAGATTCTGAATCCATGACAGCTGGATGCACAAAGAGGTCTCAAGCACACATTTGGCGAGCTGCATGCTTAGTGCCAGAACAGATAATGTGTTCCTTCTGCTAAAAATAAGACTGTGATTAGAGAACAAACTTGTGCTCTTGGTCTATAGACTCATGCATATCTGTATGAAGTATAAAATGTGAATAGCTAACTTGATTTCTTCCATCGAAGCTGTAAAAAAAAAACATTTAATTCAGAAATTCAGGGTTGATAACAGGGCTGCACGGTATTGGATACATCTGATATTGTGATATGAATTCAGTTTCACAGGATGGTTTGATTTGCTCTATTTGACAGTTTTATGGGAGGTTTAAAGCCTAGTTCACACTACAGGATTTAAAGCCTGATTTGAACCCGATTTGGAAGTTAACTAGCTCACAGACAGATCGGTCTGTGATCGGGAAAAAATCTGTGGGAGCTCGGTGCTCAGCAGTCTTTATGTGTGAACTACTGAACAACACATCAAAGAGGCTTGATGAAGCTTCGCTGACACCTCGCAGATGGAAATCCAATATCTAGCATGCCGAATATTCCAGAGCAGTCGGCCGACTCGACCCACCTGCGATCAGATGTAGTGACAAGTTGCAGCCAATGAGAGAGCACATTAGCATGAAACGTCTGTGATTGGCCAGAATGGGCATCGGTGCACTCGTTTTATTCTGCGTTAACACGGGCACAATAGGCTATTTTAACAGTGGAACTAGAATTCTGTAACTATTAGAATTACCATACTGCTCATTCTGACTGTTCTTATATAAAACACTATATTGTCACATCACATTTACATTCAAAACTTCCATTAAGATATTAAAATAAGCTCTGAATGTCTGTCATCACATTTTATGACACCATTACCCTAAAAATATTATCTTTTTTGGTAATACAGCCTATAAATATGTAATTAAGACACTAGAACACGCAAAGGTCTGGGCCTCGCTTTCATTTTCACTTTAAAACAGGAGCTATATTGCGGCACAGAATAACCGCACAAATAAATTATTTTGTTTGCTAAGTGCAAAGATTTGTTTCAAAACTATTTCTAAATTCAGTTCTAATTTCCAGCAAACGAATAAATGAACAATAATAACGAAGTGAGGTCAAAATACTGAGTTATTTCCAAATATACCTGCTATGCCACATTTGGTCTAAAACCTGACAAGTGGACAAATCTAAGCTTGTTTTTAATAAAACAAATATAAATATGGATATAATAAATAATACTGCTAATAATAATAACATTATAAAAAAGCAAATTGAATGAACTAAAAAAGCCTCCCGAGACGAAGGATTCAAGGCAGTGGTTTTTAAATTCATGTAGGCTAGAAAATAATATGTTTTGTAATATTTTAATTCTTTATACTTATATCCTATATATATATATCCTTATTATATCACATATATATATATATATATATATATATATATATATATATATACATACATATATATACATACACACATATATATATATACACACATATACATATATATATATATATATATACATATATATATATACATATATATGTAAAGATATTTGCGTATTGCTCTACATCTTGTGTGTAAGCAGTGTGTAAGTGAGGGGCACAACTAACGCGCTCCGCCCCGGACTTTAGACCGGATTTGTTCTGGTCTAAAGAACAGACTATTACAGTTTCTCAAAATAGCAACGCGCCAAAACACGCCTGCTTTTTTAGATTAGAATGCCTATGGGTGCACATATGAGCGCAAATGCATTTGCTATTTAAAAAGCGTGGCGCAACACCTCAAAATGACCCTTGCGCCGAGCTGAAAGTAGCAAATAACAATTGCGTCACGCCTTGCGCCACATTGCGCCGGGTGTATGATAGGGCCCCTAGTGTTAAAGCCACATCTATCCACTTGAACCTTGCAGATGAGTGATTGATCCGCTGAGGCATCAGCTGAATGGCGATGTTTTTAAATGATCCGTTTAAAGCTTGAAACACTGTCAGTGATGTCATCAGCACACAAGCAGCCAATCGTGTTCAGCTTTTTCTGACGACTCCTCCCTCAAAGTTTCATTAGCTGCGGTTTAGTAGCTTGACTGAGCTGTTGACGAACAAGTTGTTGTCAGATTATCTAGTGTTTGACCCCCCTCTTGTGGATCATTTACATAGGCTCATGTAGTGTGAATACTACAGCGATTAAATTACACAAAATCAAGTCATGCAGTGTAAACGGCACAGCGATCTGCTGATGTTTAAATTCATGTAGTGTGAACTAGGCTTAACAGTATTCAGATGCAGAAATTAAATATTAGCAATGCAAAAAATGCTTTTCTTACTTTGCTTTGTCTCAATTGTAGTCTAAAATATCTTAAAAAAAAAAAAGGTTTTAGATAATGTAAAAATATGTTGTTGTTGTTGTTTTTTTCAACTTTAGAATAAGTCAGAAGCTACAGCAAAGCATTTGGCTATACAGTTGAAAAACTGATCAACTAAAAGAGGGTGTCACAGACTGGGAAAGAGTTTGGCAGAACATTTTTATTTCATCTAAAAATCCCAATCCCAACTCATCCACAGTAACTTGTCATAGAACCTACTGTACCCAACTCAAAAGACATCATTTCAATGCCTCCTTTAGTCCTCTCTGTGATAAATGTTTTGACCAGGAACTTGGATCTTTTTTTATATGATGCGGAAATGTGAAAAAGTACAAAAACTTTGGAATGAGGTTTGTGTTATCTTATGTTAAATTATTGAATATCCTGTACCGGTGAATCCCTCCTTTCTATTTACTGAGTGATGACATTTACTGAGTGATGTTAATTCTTACCAAGCTACAAAAAGCTGTTTGGCTGGCTGGCTTAACTTCTGCAAAAAAAAAAAAAAAAAAAAAACTACTAGCCCAACATTGGCTCCACATAATTTAGACACGTACAAGTGGATGGTACAACATCAGGACATTATAATGTTGGAATTATCCACAGCTCAAGTGAACTTGGTACAAATAAGTACATTAAAGATCTGGACTTCAGCTGCTGACAAAATCCCCATGTTTATTGCACAAAACAATGATCAGGATCTAGAATGATTGCCTTATTTTGTAAAATTGATACTTGATACTGTACTTAGTTTTTTGTATTTTGCTTTTGTTAACTTCTATTTTTTGGATACCCCAGTTTAAAGAGACCGCAAGGGAGGGGGTTGGGAGTAGCTGAATTGATATATTTCATTATATTGTTTTTTCAGCCTGTGCTTTGAAAAAAAGAAGAAATAAGTCAAAATTAAGACATTTTTTTTTCTTAAAATAAGCTAAATTATCTGCCAATGTGATTAGTAAAACTGTTTTATTTTTACTTTGAAATGTAGATCTTTGAACTAGGATCAAAAAATGAGGTAAGAAAAACTTTTTTTTGCATAAATCATATAAATAATTATAAATATAATTATAAACACTTAAAAAAAAGGGTTAAACTTTCACTCTATTATGATTAAACTTAGCAGTGAGGTCAACTACGATTCAGTCTCAACATTGCAGATCCTGCAATGTGACTACTACTACTGTTCTGTAAATTGGTTTTAAACAGTGTGTATAATATTGGCATAGTAAAGAGTTTGAGGCCATTTTATTTGTAAAATCTTTTGACCTGTTTTTGTGTTAGGTAAGTAGGGTAGTTCATTGTATTGTCTTTTCTTTCAATTTTGATCATGTAAAGTTAGAGGTTAAAAATAAAGGTATTTTTGTTTGTTTTTTTGGGCTTGTCAGCTCCCGAATTTAAACCCCAATAAAATTTTGATTTCATATTTTCTTTGCGTTGTCTTTCATGTTGTGCACCATCCCTAGACGGTGCATAACAATGTTTTGTAATTTACAAAATAAAAGATCTATCTTTAAATAATTTCAGTTCTATTTTATTGTTATAGAAAAATATATATTTCACAAAACTGCATTAAATTGGACAAAAAAGAATGCAGAGATGCTTTGAAATTAACTGAAAAATTCATCTCAAATAAATGCTGTTCTTATTTTTTTATTTATAGATAAACAAAATATATAATGTTTAAAAAACATTAAAAAAATAATATAAAAAACAATCACTAACCACTCCAACCACTTTCTATTTAAAATTCAATTTCTGTTTGAAATACTGGGCAGCAAGGTGGTGCAGTGGGTAGCACAATTGCCTCGAAGCAAGAAGGTCGCTGGTTCGAGCCTCAGTTGGTTAAGTTGGCATTTCTGTGTGGAGTTTGCATGTTTTCCCCATGCTCACGTGGGCTCTTCCGCGTGTTTCCCCCACAAGTCCAAAGACAAGCAGTATAGGTGAATTGGGTAAGCTAAAATTGTCCGTAGTGTATGTGTGCGAATGAGAGTGTATGGATGTTTCCCAGTGATAGGTTGCAGCTGGAAGGGCATCCGCTGCGTAAAAACATGCTGGATAAGTTGGCTGTTCATTCCGCTGTGGCGACCATAGGTTTAAAAAGGGACTAAGACAAAAAGAAAATGACTGAATGTTTAAAATACATCACAATACTACAGATATTGTAGTAAAGGCATAGATAGAGTAAAAAAAAGTAAAGATAAAGAAAAGAAGGTAGGAAGGTCCAGTTTCCGACTTTGCACACGTAAATAGCACTGTCACTTCTGTACCATAAAACCAGGCTATCGGACACTACACAGAATTGTAAGATATAGACTCTGTTTCTTTTCCTTTAAATCTGGTGTGTTTTTAAATGTGTTCAAGCCAGCAGCATTTGCTTAGCCAAAGTC